TAATTGAAACACAAAACAAAAGTATTAGATGGATTACAAAAGAGGCTATAGTAAATATGGGAAAATGATTTGCTTGAGCCATTGGTAAATTTATGTAATTGATTTTGCTGTGACAGTGCATACATGTATGAACAATTATGTGAATATGGTGTTGTGTGTTATAGGAAGTAGGTGATTTCTTAAGTCTTTTGGTTATGTAATTTGAATCAAGAGGGGGGGATAAAGTACTTGATCGGAAAGAATGATTATATTAGTTATTTTGCAGTGAATGGCTTATTTGTACTTGACTTTGACCCACCCACCACTCGATTGTAATTTGGCCAGTTGCTATTAGACATCACTAGCATGACTAGTTGGAAGACAACCCTGTAATAATAGTGTGAATAAAATAATCATCTGTAATGACCAAGGAAATAATAAAGTTTTTAGTTTTTATTTAACCAACAATAAACAACAAGTTTACAAAACAATTCGAGTAAGAATAAAGTAAAAATAATTGTCAAGTTTAAATAATAGGAGATACAGATGATGGTTGAATTATCTCGCCTGGAAGAAAATTAAAAAAAACAAGTAAGTGGTAAGGATTATATAATCGAAATGAATGATTTGAGTAAGGTGTTAATTACAGGAATGTTCAACAGGAAGAACATTGTTGAAATGATAATGCTTTGAAAATGAGTGAACTTTCCATAATTAAATCTTGAGGCACATTGTAAATAACTGGTGAGAGGATGCTGAAAGCACTACTGTGCATTCAAGCATCCTCTCATTGAAAATAAACATGTTATGCACATTTACATTATAATGAAGTAAATTAGTGTTGTAAACAGAGTGTCATAGTGATTACATCTGGTATGATGTGCATGCAACGACTCATGGTGCAAAAGCACATAAGTGTTGACGGAAGACCCAAATGACAACCAATTTGGTAGTAGTCATACTATATCTATATTGTTTTCAATAAGCGCTGCAACAATAAGCTGTACAAAACCAGTAGTTAACTGTTTACAGCATTGTACAAGACAGTATTATAGACCCAAATAATGCAAAGTTACAAGGCGTTGTACAAATATACCCCCTTACTTTGTGGCTTGTATGTTCATCCAACTGTCCATTCAGAATGAAGAGGAAATAAAGTAGGTGCAAAGGGACTATATAGAATATATTTGTACTTCATAGGAATATCATTGATGATATCAATCCCATCAGACTGATAGAACCCGTAAAAGTAATGAATTTATCGCATGGCAATGGCAATATGCCAACCGACATATAATGATCATGACCATGTGCAAAAACAGCATTGTTGGTTTGCATAAGACAGCCCACACACATGCTATAAGGAGTAAATTCCTGGTACCACCAATGGCAGGGTTGTAAATGATTCAACATCAAACCAGAAACATAGAATGTAAATGCATGGACCTGTTTGTACAGAATACCAGTTTATCCCTCATTATTTATGTTCAGTCTATATTAAATACAATCATTTTAAACCATTTTTTTACATGATGATCAACGTTTTTCATTTTAGAAAAAGGTAACTCATTTCCATAAAAATAAAGTTTGGCCTTAATGACAAATGACAACACATGTCATTGTTTAAGGTTGAGATGAGTGGCATGAACTGTTGGCAGCTGGCGACAGCAAAACTTTCACTGATGTACATGTGTATGTAGACATGAGCGCAAGGAATTGGCCCCTATCAGTTTCTGCCTAATAAATGAAAGTTATGTACATTCCTGCTGTGGCCATTTACCTACAATAGCAACATCACAAGAAAATTGTATGGGCCAAACAATGGCCATGAAAAGTAAGAATGAATACAGCCAGCCAGTCATGCCAATGTAGTGAATGTAATGCAATTTCTTGCATGACTTTCTGCTCAATATTATACAGTGTGTGGTAGCCTATGCCGAATATTTAATGGCATGGTCACAAATTATCATGAAGATTAATCATGATCACATACTTCATAGACACTATAACATTACATTAGTGAGCAAAGACTATAAATCATATCCATGCCCCTAGACATGGCTACATCCGAGGTCATCATTTTGCCAATGCCATTCTTGAAATTTCATTATTGCTGGCTGCATAGACCAGACTATTAATGTACAAGTATTTACACATGTCGGCCTTATTTTTGGTTTTAGATGCTATTTATTTAGGGCTTAGTCTTTTTCCACGAAACGAAACGAAACCCAAACCCAAAGCCAAACCCTAACCCTAACTCGCATTTTTGTTTTCATTGGCCCAATAATATCTGAGAAAATTTCACACTGTGAAATACGGACGTGACGATGTCTGAGGTCGTTCAAAATCTAAGGTTAGGGTTAGGGTTTCGTTTCGTTTCGTTTTATTTTGTTTCAATTCGTTTCGTGGAAAAGACTAAGCCTTTATTTAGATGCATCGTGACAACTGTGGCCGTGAAGATCCGGTAGGTAAGGTAATTGTTACTAGTCGCACCGTGCATGTATGTGCACATCACACAAATCATACGAGTTCACAAGCCATAGGCCTAGTAAATCGCTGTCGTCAGTTATGTACGATGCAATATTTGGCGATTTATTTTTGGCCATTAGATTCCCTGAATTGCCAATAAATCCTGAAAATCGGCTTTGCTAAGCGATGAGTCGTTTAGTTCAAAACACTGAATGATCATAGCATGGTTTTAGAGGTAAAGCAATTGTTAAGAATATATTAAAATTTGTGGAAAAGGGCAAAAACTCTTACCTTTAGTACAATGTCTTAACGGCGTCCTAGGCTCGCTGGCAAAATAATCTACGTCATCGAAAGATGCGTCTACGTGTACTGTAGACAATTTCCATGACGCTGCATTGCATGCGTGGAGTCGACGTCACAATTTTTGCGTATCAATTTTTCTCCTGAACTTTGTCTTGACAGCGCAAATAATACCCAAATGATTTCTGGAAGCCAAAATTGAATCTCGACTCAGTCCTAATTACGCGTTTAGGAATGACCTGGTGATCCAAAATTAACCTCGCATTAAAATACTGCCGCCTACGGCGGGTCCCGGGATCATTGCGTCAAGACAAGAATTGAGACAGTCATTCACGTTATAATTTCTCAATACATCAATAACTTCCAGTTCAAACTGTTATATTTCTCTGCCGCCCAATGCTGTATTTGAACAACTTGGTCATGACTCAGCACAAAGCAGATAGGCAGTCACTCTGTTCGTATTCCCAAATGGTTCCTGTTTGAAACACCGACACCAATTTAATGTTTAATGCTGAACAATCAGAAACGACCAGAATCTTGTCCGGATTTTTTGGGTGATACATTTTATGATGTAGTACGATATACCATACTCCATCCAGCATAATGCTTCTTGTTGATTGGGTGAACCATACAACCATTGTAATCACAGTAAATTCTTTTCCCATTCTTTGATCAAAGCCCTTGAGACGCTGTCTTACATTTATTGTCAGATAACTTTATTCTGTCTTTACGAAATGGTAATCCGATATCACAGCGTGCACCTATGTTTGATTGAATTTTCCACATTAACCACATATACTTTATCTACTTGGGAATATCATACATACTGCGTTCTGGAAAGTCTAAGTTTGTTAACACTCTGAATATGTGAGTTACTTATCGATGTTCATAGTCATGACATGCACTGGATATTCATATTAAAGGATATTTCATATTAAAACACCCATCCAACTGTTTACATTTGCATTGTAATGAGACGCTTGTATGATATGATGTGTTCAAACCAGTATCTTTATCTATCCATCACATCACCATTAGGTATAGACTACAGATAATTTCAAGTTAAAGTAATTAGATTTTTGCGGCAGACTTTAGGTCCGCACCTTTCACGCACAAGATCTCAAATTGCTTATTCAAACTCAGCCCTAGTATGCTGTGCTAAAATTCCTAAATCAGCAAATTTAACATTCCAGTTGATTTTTAAATTAGCTCAAAGTATGACTGCAAACTTTATAGCCCATGGGCCAGAAAGAACCCCACCCCCTTCAGGGTGATGTTTTTCACATACCTTGATAGTAATAGATGACTCTCAGGATGAATCTCCTGAAATTACCAACTTAACGGATGTAATATTTGATTGTGATGATTAATGATGTTTCAGCTCAAGAAATCCAAATAGAGATATTGTTCAGTTACTGACAATACATTTCTTATAACATTTAATATTGAATATAATCATAGAAACAACTAGCTCATAAAATAGATGGTTTATTAACCGCGCTCCTATAATAAGGTGCCAAAATCATGTATGTTGGCTATGGATATTGACAATGTCACATACAATGAATGGCTGCCTTGTGGCCACGCCCACCATTGGGTAGATGGCAGACAACGTGATTCTTGTCAGACACACCCTAACGTATGAAAAAAAAACATTACCTTGAAAAATTCCCATAGGGGGGTCAAGAGCTGGCATATGGTCTATAATACTTTTCTATGGGAATATTTGAATGTGTCGAAGTCTGGCACAACTAAAAAATATGATATACCTGTGTACGCATCGAAACACTGCTTATTTTTCTTGTTTACCCTTAAATTGCAGTTCAACATGTTGGCAATCAGACCTGTTTAGATACTAATAATGTTCTATAAAATATTTTTACTGAGATACACAAGCTGTTATACCTAATTTTGGTTGATCACACTGTCAGCAGTGTAGACAAGTACAGTAGGTAATATACACCTAAAAATATTACTTGGGTGGCACCTTATATCATATATATATACAGCTACCAAATGACGAAACACCAAACAATCTTGTGTCTTGGAGATAATACATCGTTCTCTTGCTGATATATCATCCACTGTAGCTTATTACCTATAATGTATATTTAATACAGTTTTATTGTCGTACTTGTAATTTATATTTATAAATACATGAATTTGGGTATACTATGCCTACTTCACATATGTGTTGACAGTGTGGTGTTTTGACACACTGTAAAATCATTCGAGTAAAAAAAAAATACACATTTCTGCCATTATTAAATAATGTTTATTAAACCAAAAGTGAATAATACTAAATCTATGCCCAAACGCCCGACTCCGTTTTAATATCCTTTATCCCAAACTGAATAGACTGTTAATACGTTGACGATAGTATGTAAGCTTTATATACGTCATGGAAATAGATCAGCAATTGGCGATTGACGATGATCATTAGCATCTGTAAGAAATAAAAAACCAAACAATTTATGTCTCATCGGTGATCATGATTCATTCATACATTCATTCAGTTAGTCAGTTATGTATGTATGTATGTATGTATGTATATTTGTATATTTCTTTCAACGATTATTTGTTCGTTAAGTCATTCAATATTACTAAACACCTACAAAGCACTGAATGACATGTCACCTTGTTATATATCAGACTTAATTCACTTTAGATCTTCACCTCGCGAACTTCTTACATGAACCAAGATATCAATCAGAATCATTCGGCAAACGTTCTTTCTCATGTGCTGCACCACGGCTTTGTGATTATTATTATTATTATTATTATTATTATTACTCTGACTTACGTTTTGCCAGCAACTTTCCAGCTCTCACCAAACTCTTTAATATCTTTTACAACAACACCATCAGGTTTCTTGAAGTCATTTTTGGTATTACCATCACCATCACCAAGCAGACCACACATCTTTCCACGATAATAATCACCAGTGAATTCGATATTGAAGGTGTGTTTGTCTCCATTCCAGAATATCTTGAATGTTGTGTCCTTGAGCGTGAAACTTAGAATTGTCATATCGCCTTTGTGCACTATGTTTATATTCTCATGACTACCAGCACTCGCCTAGAGGGAAAAGGTTTTGTTAAATTTAAATATGTTCAGTCAGCTTTATTGGTTCTTGATGTAAGTATATGCATGATGATAGCATAATATACACATAATATCATAACCATATGATTATATTAAAACATCAACTTTATGTTCATCACAGACATAATTGTATTAAACAATAGCGTATTACTACAGCTAATTCTTAGAACCAATGCTCTACTCACGGTAAGTACGTTGTCCTTGTCAATGAGAGCGCATTCACCTCCTACTGTAACGTTAATGGCAACAAGTCTGGTCCTGACTTCTTCCGTATTGTCTCGGGGTATTAACTCGGCAGTGATTTCAAAGGCCTGGAGTTGCGCTGTCGCAGTCTTTTACAAGAGTGTACCAACATATGCCTTGGAAATTGTACTGACGTCCATCTAAGGTTGTTATGTGAGGATCACACTTGACATCTTCAATAAATAAAATAAATTTATTATTACTTGTTTACCAGACACATGCAATGCATCTTATGGTGTTACATATATCTTTATCTTACTAATTTACTTATGTTGTGCAATGTACTTGTTGTTGCCAATCTTTTGCTTTGTGTTCTTGAATTCCACGATACGACTTACCATATTAAAGCAGGGGAGTAGTAACCTGCGATTGCGTCAGATGGCCATGGCGTGCCATTGTTTACAAACAAGCGTCTACCCTTGAGCCTTTGCGTTTTTAACGTGTGTTGTTATCCTCATCCCGCGCGTGCGCAGGTGACGACCCTCCCGCTTTAAATGAGCTACGGTTTGTTATGTTATTTCTACTTTTTAAGGTAGAGATGCAGGTTCGAGAGCACTTGGGAGTGAATTTTTTTTTTTTTGCTATTTATTATCCAAACAGTCTTGGCTATAGACTGTTAAAATTTTGTAGAATTGTGAATAGTGGAACATACTCAAAAAACGATTTTAAAATATAGATAACAGATGCAAACATTCTCTCTTTTGAATGCTCAGAAAGATTTAGCAAGGATGTACATAAATAATAAAAAAGATACATGGTGAAAAAAAGAAATGACGAGATCTCCATATTATGCACTATATTTAACTTTTTACAAAACGATAATACATTTAAATTTGGAACTGTCACAGCCATTTTAATTATGAGCATTATCAAACTTCTTACTGAGTGAACTGTTATGCAAATTTGCAATTATCTCAGCTTTTTTTTAGTGCACATCCAAGAACTAGCTCCTAGACGCTTTGACCTTTTGTTTTGAAATTTTCACAAATGATTGACAATGTGTTTATCTTCAAAACGTCGCCTGGGCATTGTTTTTGGTTGAACAGTGTTACAACAATCGTACAGACAACTAGCCTGGGTGTTAATTTATGCATAAACTTGAAATAGTGAAATTTGAGCTGCTGCCCTGCAAAATTGACAACTGGTAGACAGTTTTCAAGACGGCACTTTCTTCATAGTAAACAGATGTACCCATTAACCAATTTTGACAGGAAACAGAAGCATGGTTTAGAAGCTAATTTTTTTTAAATCACTTTTGACCAAAAAAGCACATTGTTGTGCATATTTCAAACTACAGTGTTTATAAAAAAAACTACTAACAAAATTTTAAAATTGTACAATAAGCTTTCCGAAAATATATAGTTTTGTGGACAAGGGAGGTCATCTTGGTTTCCTAATTAACTAATTAAAATACCTGTCAGGTAAACTGCATCTCTACCTTAAGCAAGTGAATATTTATGATTGTCCCAACAAATATTATAATCATATATAACAATTAAAATGATAATTAATAATGCGTTTAATTTTAGCAACCTTAAGTTCCAACTTATCACACAAACATGCATTAGTTTCGATTCCATTATAATGCCAAATAATGACCCAATACTATGCTAAAAACAATCAAATAAAAAAATTATGCCATTACTATACAGGTTCTCGATTCAATTACTGGTATATATGTCGAACAATATATACATCATTTTGGTGTACATATTACCTAATTAAATAAGACAAATTATCTGCCATGTTTTGTTCACAATAATATGAGGTTATTATGAGGATACTGCAAAGTATGTGCAAATACAGTACAGTGGAAGTATCGACCGACGCGCGATCGCGTACTGTCTGTGTACATACTTTGCAGTATACATCTTTTTCTCCCAGGAATACATCATGGGAATGCCGAAATCCAAAACGTTGAGATCAGATTTAGCGTGTGTGGGGTCCGGTCAAACATTGGGGGCAGCCATGTTTGG